TGTGAAGTTCAGATTAAGTTCCTATAGATCCGTGAATTATTTATTTAACGTAGCCGAGCGGTCAGGCACTAGTAATACTGTCACTCCTGTCTGGACTCCAGCCACAATATCACGCACGCAGGATAGGGGCTACTATCCTTGCGATGGCGACTTGTTCAAGTATTCGTTCCTTCCCAGGACGCTTTGAAAAGAACTTTACTTGCAACGAGTTATTGCCATCTCTTGCCTGTTTGCCACAAGCCGTGCAGAAAGACGTTCTGTGGCTAGTGTGCTCACTTGAGTGTTTGTTGTCCCTTGTTTTCAGATTGTGATCCCATCCTAGTTGACAGTAATCAGTGCATTGTAAGAAGTTATTTCTCGAGTAACTCCCACGTTGTTAAAGTTTGTAAGTTATTTCTTATTTGTTGATACCTCGTGTCACGTGTGCGACTCAGTATATCAGCATTGTTCACCGTGTTCATTGTGCTTGTAGTTGAGATAGTAGATTCGTTCTCCCTTGCTCATATTGCGTGTTATAGCGTTAATTTTTCAACCGGGGGGAGTATCCACTTCAAACCCAGTTTGTTCATTCCTCAGTTAAGAAAGAACAGAACCCATGTGGTCTGGTGTGATTCGATTCCTGCTCCAGGAAGATCTTATTCTGACTGTGAAGCCACCAGCCCCATCAGTGACTTTCTCAATGAACCAAGAATTACTGTTATCGAACAGCCGAGTTGGGTACTCCTAGCAGAAGAGTAATACCAGTTAGTAATTCCACAGTCACTAGTGAATGTAGCCTTACAGCTAGTTCACGATGAAACCAGTGTTGCACACCCTGGTATGGATCGTTCAGTAAAAAAAGCCAGATTGAAATACTTTTGGCCTCGTTATGGCAACTGATATTTCTGAGTATGTTAGGAAATGTAGTGTCTGCATGCACAAAAAGGAAATGCTAATGGTCCTAATCCAATCCAAGTGTATCCAACTACTAGCGAACCTTGGGAAAGAGTTGCGCTAGATTTGTTAACTAATTTCCAATGTTCCCTCCAAGGCAACAAACATCTGTGTGTTATGGTAGACCATTTCACACCAGATATTTTTGAGTTAGTTCCTATTGCAGATAAGACTGCCGAGACAGTAGCTAAAGCTTTTTAAAGAACGCATTATCTGCAGGCATACAACCCCTAAGTCCCATAGTAACAGATAATGGAGGTGAATTCTGTAATGAAATTTTTGAAAATTTGTGTACCTTGTACAAGATCCTCTAAGTCCACCATTGTTCCTCATCATCCTGCCAGCAAGGGGTTAGCGGAACGAACCAATAAAAAGTTACTTGATGTATTGAGAGCCACTATCAATCCCAAAGTGAAACTTGGGATGAAGTTATACCTGATGTCAGTGTGCTATAAATTCTGCTTACAATGTTTTAAGGTGACACTCCACATTATGCATTGTAGGGTTGTAGAAAAACGTTTGCCTTATGAGTTGTTATATTTCTAATCCGAAACCAAATTTAAACAACCCTGATGATTTCGTAGCAACTCGTACCACTTAGCTCAAATGTTTTTAGAAAATCCGGGGAAACACTTCATAAATCAACAGCTGAATTTACAAGAGTCGCAAATACTCGAGTAAAGCCATCCAAAATCAAAAGTAGGTTCGAGAGTTATGCTGACTAATTTTAACAAAACGTCCTGCAATGCCAAAGCTTGATCAAAATTTTTGTTGGTCCTTATCGAGTATTGAACATATCACTGGTAATAAGTATAAGGTTAGAGAGATTATACTGGTCAGTAAAAAGAATCGCATTTGATCAAAATGAAGTTAGTATGTGATAAATAATGATGTTCCAACCCAACTAATGTGACAGACTCTGACAATCCCCCCTGATCCTGTACTCTCTTCCTCTGATACTCATCAGATGATCAACCTGAATGTCGTTATTTCCCTACGTACAACGACAGGTATTGAAAAATCCCCCAGTATCATTTGTAACTTCCAATTCAGATTTGCCTCAAATACAGCATGAGTTAGCCAATGCTACAGAGTTTGATCCTCCCAGAGATGACACCCATTCGTATATGCCAATCTTACCCTAGAAAGGGTTGGGGTTAAATGTAGATAACCTGTATAGATGAATAATTACAGTATCAACTTATCAGTATTCAAGAATTTTTTTTTTGTGTTCAATGTTCTCTCCGCATTCTGAGAGTTAACAGTCTAGATTTGCGTGCACCGAATCTGCCTTTCTGTTAAATAACTCTTCTTTGTAATATCCTCCTCAGAATCCGTAGATCACATGAAAACAGAATCGATCGATCAAAATTTTTGTTTTTATCACTTGTAATCTCAATGTTGAGTTCGTTGTTCATTGTTGAGTTTTTAAAATTGTACTATAGTAATACCTTGAATTGCATTACAGTCTCAGTTACGTAAGCTTTCATTCCAATGTTCTACTTATGTAAACTATAATGTTTCATGTTGTGTACTTTGACATTGAAAAAATCAGCCAAGCCGTATACCTGCCATCTCTAGTTTGTATTAGTTGTATGTCGGCACGAAACGTTAGCGTCGCCGACTCTCAGTAGTAGTAACCAGTTACCATAACCTGTCCGTTGACTCAACGACCAACCGTCTTGAGTCACGGTCTGTGCTGAGCTGACACTATTTTTCAAAAGACCCACTACGGGGTACTGGCCAGCCGGCTAGTCAGTTTTACGAGTGTAACCAAGGAGACAGGTAACGGCTGCGGGTTCTCTCCACATATCTACGATTATACGAAATAACAGCCTACGTGAGTATTTCTACCCTAATCCACGTATCGAACTCCCACATGATACTGAGACGGCAGCGTCTTGCCTTGCAGCGTCACTCATCGCCGCTACATCCATCATCGTTGAGAAAGCTGCCACTTATAACATTTCGATAACGTTAGTCCATAACATAAGAATATAAGAAAGGAACACTGCAGAAGGCCTACTGGCCCATGCGAGACAGGTCCAATTCTCCCGCCGCCTTAAGCCAAATGCCTTGACCAATCAGGTCAGGTCAGGTCAGGTCACATTCGGCATTCGACCTAATACACAAGCTAGTCAGGTTCAACTCACAACCCACCCACACCTACTCAATGCATTTATCCAACCTATTTTTAAAACTACACAACATTTTAGTTTTTATAACGGTACTTCCCGGGGGTTTGTTCCACTCATCCACAACTAATTACCAAACGGTGCTTTCCTATACCCTTCTAAACAAGCTTCACGAGACTGTCAAGTGACAGCGAAGCAAACTCTTTTCCCACTTCCGACGTCCTGCAGCTAAACCTCACTACCGTTAATATTTTTCTCCGGCCGTGGATGGTGAAGAGCACCGTAGTCACGGTGATCTTCACCATCTCCAAGGGTTTAGGGACTGATTACCTCTCTTTTGTATATAGTTCACAGACTTCACATTATGTCCTTTGTATTGTATTGATATAGCTTCTGGATGGCGAAATGTCTAAAAAATAAGGAAAACCCAGATGGTATAGGCATAAATGGGAAAAAGATTTTTGTTTTGTAGTTGTTATCGTACGGCATCAGGATCCTCAAGTTTTTAAGACACCGTGATCGTCGTCAAACGAGAATGTCAGTGCACAAACCCATGGATATTTCTCAACCCTCCCTTCATAAAAGGGACACAGTGTCCCTTTTAAAATCATATGAACAAAGTTTTGGGTTGGGGTAATCCTTTTTGGGGG